GCTTACAACCGCCCGAGCAGCCATACAGGGGGAGCCAGTCGCGATCAGCAAATGAAGAGATCTGGGTGTGATCTGGGCGAATTAAGAAGATAATGGAGTCGCAGCCCCGTCGCCGCTCTGCCACAGCGTCGCAGCAATCGGACGATGCCGCATCAACCGCACCATCAGCCCAGCAAGATAGACACCAGCAGCATCATCCAGCCGACGACAAGTCCGCCAGGGAGCAGATCTTCCGCCTGCGCATCGAGAGGGAGCTGAGCCTGCTCGAGCAGCAACTGGATGAGGGCGTGACTATCACATCAGCACAGGTGGACTCGGGCTGCCACATCTATCTATCCTTCAGCGGCAAGTTCTTTCTGAGAGAGCTGCGGGGAGCCGACCCGCCGCAGGAGGCCGTGTTTGTGATTGACGTGAGCAGACAGTATCCCTTCCTCCCGCCGCTCATCGCCTGCCAGTCGTTCGCATGGCCCTTCTACAACCAGACGCCCGAGCAGCTGACGAGGGACGTGCTGCAGGAGGCCTGGACCCCCCTGATCACGCTATCCGAGATGGTCAACCGACTCTCTGCGCTCGTCTACAGATCAGTGCAGAACGACCGGCTGATGGACGACAAGAACGTGCATCAACAGGGGGACGGCAACAGTGGCGCGGCGGTTGTCGCCTCGCTGCTGGGGTTTGTGGAGCGGCATCGGTTGCGGGTGACCGGCGTGGGTGTGGTGGTGCTACTGGCGGTGCTGTGCCGGCTGGCTGTGGGCGTATACCCTTGTTCGGGGTGGGGGGTGCCCCCGATGCATGGCGACTACGAGGCGCAGCGGCACTGGATGGAAATCACCACCAACCTCCCTATCAGGGACTGGTCAGTCCATAGGAGGAATAGGGAGAAATGGAGAGCCCCAATTGCACGCGTGGATGTCTCTGTGTGTGTGTCTGTGTGAATGGGGATCAGGTACGTGGAGAGTGACGCGAATGACCTGCAGTACTGGGGTCTGGACTACCCCCCGCTCACGGCCTACCACATGTATACGTGCGGCCTCGCGAGTGCGGCATATGAGCCGCAGTCGGTGGAGCTGCTGACGTCCCGTGGGTACGAGACGCCCACGCACAAGCTCTTCATGCGCATGACCGTCCTGCTGGCCGACGTGCTGGTCTTCTTCACGGCAGCCATCTACTATGCCCTTTGCGCAATGCAGGTGGGCGTGTTCTGGTGAATGGATGGATGGGCGGATGGATGCATGTGTGTGTGTCTGTGCGTGTCAGTGTCAAGGGTTCAGCTGGCGGATGCGTGTGTCGACCTTGTGTCTGTTGCTGCTGTGTCCGGCGTTCATTCTGATCGACCATGGCCACTTCCAGTACAACTGCGTGGCGCTCGGCCTGACTCTCTGGGCGGTGGGCCTCATTGCCACTAAGAGATACCTGATCGCCGCTTCAGGTGAGTGCATGATCCACGCCGACACGTACAATGCATCAGTGTCTCTCTCTGTGTGGATGGATGTGTGTGGGTATATAGCCTTCACCCTCGCCCTGCTGTACAAGCAGACGCTGCTCTACTACGCCCCTGCTTTCTTCTTCACTCTGCTGGGCCTGTCCACCCGCACAGTGGCCGTCGACAAGGGCATCAGACGCCGACTGAGATTCGTGCGCCCGCTCACCGCTGTTGTCAACGTGGCCAAGATCGGTCTGGTGGTCGTCCTGACGGCACTTGTGGTGTTGATGCCCTTTCTGTTGGCTGGGGAGGAAGAGGTCCCTGGGAATAGCCTGGTAGAGAGGCTGCTGGCGGTGAGTGAGCGCACTCACCTGCACGCCTTCAACCCCCCAACCACCTCTCTCTCTCTCTCTCTCTCTCTTTCGGCCCGTTCAGTCACTGCGCATGTCCTCGCTGATCCCGATCCTCCGTCGCGTGTTCCCATTCAACCGCGGCCTCTACGAGGACTATGCGGCGACGGTGTGGGTGGCTCTCTCGCCAATCGTCAAGCTGAAACGGCTCGCAGCCATGGACAACGGGGTGCACCTGCAGTGGGCCGTCGGGGTGGCCGCGTGGATGACGGCTGTGGGGTTCCTCCCCTCCTGCTGGGACGTCATGCGGCGGCCGACGGCGAAGCGGTTCGAGGTGTGTCTGTTCAACTGCTCGATGAGCTTCTTTCTCTTCTCGTGGCAAGTGCATGAGAAGGCCATCCTGCTGCCCGCACTGCCTGCGTGCCTGCTCCTGCCACAATACGGTGAGCAATGGACAGATGGACAGAGAGGGAGAGAGGGAGAGAGAGTGGTGGTCTGTTCGTGTGTGCTGTAGGTGCGTCGTGTGTCGTGTTGCTGCTGGCGGCGAGCTACTCGCTGCTGCCTCTGATGCTCAAGGACCAGCTGCTGCCGTCGTTCGTCATCCTCACCGTCGCGTGGGTGGCTCTCGCCGTGGCCACCATACAGGCCACCTCAAGAGGTACATACCCAGCCGATACCCCACAACCCATCCCCACAGACACATCCGTTTCTTTCTTTCTTTGCAGGCCATCTGAGCCTCTCATGTCTGGCCGATCCCTCCCAATGGCGCCATCTCGGGGCTTTCCTGTCGGCACACGCCCGGCTGCTGATGCACGACTCCAGCGAGATTTCCAACCTCTCGGGGCCACACGGCCGCCGTGCACGCGCCCAAGACAGAGAGCTCGTGGCGCGACGGATGGCCGAGAGGTGCAGAATCCGAGACGACAGGACTGCAGCGTGGAGTGCGCTGGCGGGGTGCGGCTTTGGGTGGACGGCCGTGTTGGTCTGCGTCTGTGGCGTCTTGGCGGGGCTGTTCTGCTTGCATGTAGGCGTAATGACCCTTGCTCCACGGGCTGTTGTTGCTCATCTGGTCTCTCCCCGTGTGTGTGGTCGTGTGTGTGCAGATGGTAGTGCCTGCCCCTGAACGCTTCCCGTTTCTCCACGAGTACCTCAACTCGGTCGTCTGCTGCGGCGTATTCGTGGCGAGCCTCATGGTCAGCCAGCACACCTCACCACCGCCCTCTCACCCTCTCCCATCAGTGTGTGTGTGTGTGTGTTGGTGCATCCATCCACTGCAGTTGGGGACGTTTTATCAGTACCAGCTGCCCGAGTTCGATGCGCTCATGAGCATTAGCGAAGGGGCCACTGACGAGAGGGCCAAGGAGAGGGAGAGGGAGAGGGAGATGGGTGGGGTGGGAGAGAGGAGCACCACCACCACACACAGCACCGGCACGAGCAGGGGCAGGGACAAGAATACCTAAGTGATGATCGCATTGCATCGCATCGGACAGACAGAGAGAGAGAGAGACTGTGTTTGGTTGAGTGGGTGGTGGATGGATGTGTCGATCTCAATTTGTGGTCGCTGTGTGTCGTGTCGTGTGGATGTGTTGCCTCTCAGCCATGGCAAAAGAATGGCTTCGAGGCATAGTACAGCTGCACGGTACATGACATGTACCATCAAAGAGACAAATGTCAATCGACCAAATGAAGAAAACTTACAGCGAGCAGCATAGCATATCCGAGCGCCTCAAATCTCTATAGTGATTGATGTTGACACACACCGACCCACCAACTCACTCACTCACCCCCACTCCTTTGCTCGTCCAGCTCTCTCCATTCGGTGCCTGCCGCCGATCCAGACGAAGAGGCAGACGTCCCACTGGACACATCCACCAGGTCCACATCAGCATCAGCAGCAGGCAGCACGTGTCCGCCTGGCGAGAGGGGGAATGTGCGTGGGGTGGCCTGCCTGAAGGCCTGGCTCACGAAGTGCCTCGGCTCCTGCCGCCCGATGTGCTTGATCAGCGAGTCCAGCATGGCGTCCATCGCCTTGACGCGGTGGCTGCATGCACGAGGAAGGGAGACATGGGACAGAGGGGGAGAGAGAGGGTGGACAGGGTGGTCACTCGATGGCGATGTGTTTCTTGCGGATGGTGAGGATGTCTAAGGCATTGGCCCCGCCACGCAGCAGCAGACACCCATCCACAAACCTGCACGCGCACATACACATACACACTCCTCATAAATGTATGTGTGTCTCCCTCTCTCCCCCCCTGCATACTGTTCGAAGTCGACAAATCCCCTCTTTTTGGTGTCCATCACGCGCATCATCGCGTCCGCCTTGTCCACATGGATCTGCAGCAGCCGCAGCTTGGCCACCAACTGCAGCGCAGTGCAGTGCAGTGCAGCGAACCGACACAGCCGCTAAGACTCGCTTACAAGAGGCGTCTCGAGAGCCCGGCAGAGCCGCCTTCCCGTCACAACAGCAGACGTCTGCACCGCATCCACCCACACGCAGGCACAAGCACAGAGGTCTCTCCGTGTCCATCTCTCTCCTCTCTCTTCCTCTCCCCCACCCTCCAGCCCACACTGTCTGCCCGGAATGTGCCCGTCCTGCTGAGTGTGGTGATGTCGCTGAACATGCCACCCTCCGCACCAGCCACTCGCCGGCGAGACATCCTCGACCCACTCTCACTCACGCCCCTTTCTGGCGCTCTGTAGGCCTCTGCGCGGGCGTCGGGGGCTTGCTGTGGCGGTGGGGGTGGCTGCTGCTGCTGCTGCTGCTGCTCTGGGGGTGAGGAACCCTCATTTTCGTCCTAAATAGACAAGAATATGAGTCTGCCTCTGTGTCTGTGTCTGTCAAATTCATCTTGGGTTACCTTGATTTTGACGATGAAGTCCCAGCACTCTGTAAGTGCGTCCATCATCTCGGCCCACTCCTTGCCGAGCCGCCTCTGCAGCAGCCGGTAGTCGTCGCTCTTGGTGTCCTTGCCGCTCGACAGGGTGGACTCGCAGATCACGCCAATCACCAAGTTCATGATGGCAAACGAACTCAGCCAGCTGACAGAGGAAGGGATGGATGGATGAGGAGAGGGAGGGAGGGACGGGGGAGGTGTGTGGGTACATGAAGACGACGAAGAAGGCGAGCATGTAGGGGTTGACTGCAGCCACGGCGCGGACCACCGCTGACCGAGCAGGCAGAGATCGACCACATGTGTATGTACTCAGACACACATGCCCCCGCTGGTATGCTTACGCACTTGCCCAGCCAGAGAGCGTTATCACTGCATACCCACAGCAGAGAAACAAAGACAACAACAGACAGACAGACAGACAGACCCCTTCCCACGGACCACCATCAACCCTGCCCACCTTGGAACAAAGTAAACCTGACACACACAAACACACGAGACACACAAACAGCATAACTAACACATATGTATGATCATCCACACGCACTCACATGGATTTGAGCACACTCCCAAAAAGCAGGTCCATGTCCTCGTTGGGATCGGCGGCCGGCGGCTCCGGGCACCCATAACTTGGGTCATAGGACGACCCCACGGGCAGCAAGAACTGCTCTGGCCGCTCGACCGAATCCTCCACTGCCTCCACATCGACAAGTCTCTGGCCTATGATCTGAGTGCAGCTGCATTAGTTGACGCACATTGACGACAGACAGACAGACAGACAGACAGACAGAAGGATGTTTGCAGGAAGGGTGGAGTGCGTGTGTGTGTGTCGGCGGTGCGGTGCTCAAGGACATACAATATGGCACATGCGTAGATGACTATGATCAGCAGTACGGCGATCCACAAGAGAGTCTTGAGAGACGTCGCCAAACCCTTGACTATCAACCTACACCCATCCAATCCCATCGACCCACCAGAGGATGTGATGCGCACCGCCCCCCCTGTGCTGTGCTGTGTTCAGTCTTCACGGCATGGCATGGCACGTACCACAGCTCCTTGAATGCCCTAAGGATGCGTATCAGTCTCGCCAGCTTGCACAGACGAACGATCCTGAATACTGTGACGGCCTGCATCGACGCGGACTCCTCGCCGCCGCCGTAGGCTATCACCTGGATCACCTGCACACACCAAACACACCTCCTTCCCTCGTGTGTGTGGATGGATGGATGGATGGATGGATGAGAGACAATCTTGAGGGCCAGCACCTACCCACAGGTCGATGGCAGAGGCGAGCACCAGCAGCAGGTCGAAGGAAGTCCATCCGTCCAGGAAGGCCCGCCATGAGAAGAAGTAGACGCGCAGGACCAGCTCAAGCACAAACACGGCGAGGAAAAAATGCTGCACACACCCCACCCAGAGATGGGGGAAGGAACTCTCAGCCCATTGCAGACATTCCCTACATTGAGTATATAGAGAGCGAGGCCCAATGGGTCATCGCCGTGATAGCCCCCCGTTCCCGAGCCGTAGTCCGTCTCAACCTGCACACACATACCATGCAGCGCGAGATATATGACAACATACACATGCCCATACACACACACACACACACACACACACACACACAATGACCGTCGTGCTCTTTCTGATACCCACCCCAATAAAAGCGGCGTTCAGCACGATGAAGAAGGCAAAGAAGAGGTCAAACCTAGTCATCAGCTCCTGCCTCCTCTCCTCAGCCGCCACCTGCTGGTGCCGACGCATAATGGCCTCCTGCCGCTTCGCCAAGTCAGCGTCAATCGTCCCACGCCTCTTGAGAGGATCGTACTGAGTCTCTTCCCCAGTAACCTCCTTGCCCATCTCACCACCCCCTCTCAGCGCCCTCTCCGCCCTTCTCAGCACGACATGGATGCAGGAAAACCCTCCCATGAGCCGATGCAGCTCGGCAACGAGCTCTTGAGGGGGCACGGCAAGCGCATCAGGGGGCAGGGTGCTGTCGGCGACAGTTGTGGGTGGGGAGGACGACACATAGGAGCTCCAGCCGTCCGTATCCTCAGAGTACGAGAGGTCGAAGTCCGCCAGCACGAAGTCATGAAATACGTCGGCGAAGTGGGTGGTGCTGTTGGCCTTGTCGAGGGCGAGGATGAAGCTGCCGACGCGCCTCCTTGTGCCGCTTTGGGTCTGCTCAATGACCACCTACAGATGCATCCCACCACGGGACCCACCAACACAGCACAACAATTCCATGCATCCACACACACAGGGGCTTCTTGTGTGTTGTGTTCCGTAGCGCTGTGCATTCCATTCTCTCTCTCACCGTCTGAATGCGGATTGTGTTCTCTGAGTGGGGCGAGATGGCCGCCTGCTCGTCTGCCGTGACAGTGACGGCTGCCGGTTTCTTGTTCCCACCGGCTGCATCCTGCGCCGCGGCAAGTGCAGGGGACGTGAAGAGAGTTCGCACCGACGACGGGACCCACATCTCTCGCTCACTCTATGGAGACGCGTGGGCCGGCCCCCGTGGCCAAGATCCACATGCATGCAAAGCCCGCAATCCTTCTCGACTCTGTGAAACGCTTCACGCCCTTAAAGTTCTGCATCTGCATATCCGTGGTTGTTTGCGTCCACATCGTAGCCTTCTTTCACTCCCTTTTCATCTTTCCATCTTAGTTGCACGGTGAGCTCCCTCCCTTGGCCTCCGCACCACCTCCCCGACCGCCTTTTCGTCGCTTTGGTCCTCTCAGGCATGGCGAAGGGTGCGGCCAAGGGTAAGGGCAAGGCCAAGGCCCGCGCGAGCAAGGCTGCCGCCAAGCCGCGCGCCAAGAAGGTGAGCAGAAGGCCAGGATGGCGCCACAGAGGGCATCTACGTCATGTCTCATGCCTTCTGGTGCCTGTGGTGGCGGTATGCAGGACCCCGATGCTCCCAAGAAGGCCCGGAGTGCGTTCTGCGACCACACAATGGACAGAAAGGGCGCTATGCACTGCATCCGCCTCGGAATGCATCGGATTCGCCTCATATCTTTGGATCTCTGTGTGTCGGATGGGTGTGTGGCATCTGTGCAGGTGCCTATATCTTTTTCGGCATCTCGCGGCGCCCCGAGTTGGTCAAGAAGAACCCTGAGCTGGCCAAGAAGGTGACGGAGGTATCCAAGGTGCTCGGCGAGGAGTGGAAGAAGATGACCGACAAACAAAAGGCTCCATTCGGTAAGGAAGGAACTTACTACAACCCGATGCACCGCACACCAAACCACACACACCGCACCATGCGCACACCACATCACACCACACCACATTGCACACACGTGGATCTCTCTGTGTTGTGTGTTGTTGGTTCTGTGTGTGGTGGGGTGGTGTGTGCAGAGACCCAGGCCAAGAAGGACAAGGTGAGAGGGAGGGTGGGAATGGGTGGGTGTGTAACAGATCTCTCCCGATGTGTGTGATGGTTGGTGTTGTGTGTTGTGTTGTGTTGTGTTGTGTTGTGTTTAGGAGCGTTACGAGAAGGAGATGGCCAAGTACAAGCCAAAGGCGTGAACACCAACCCCCCGCAGGCCATCCGTGTGTGTGGTGTGGTGTGGTGTGGTGACTATACCGACGAGAGGTGGCGCGTGTCTGACCGCGCTGTCTTCCCGTCACCCCCTCAGCCACATGTCCACCTGCACCGTATCGTATCCTGTCCTAACTAAGTGATATATTCCCTCCTCGCCCGAGCTGTGGGTGTGGTGTATATATTTCATGGGTGGAGTGCGTGGTCTGGATGGATGGATTCGTGTGTGATGTTGCTTTTGCGCGTGGCGTGGCTTTGTTGTCTTTTGTTGGAAGGTTTCACACATAGCGGCTCTCCATCCACCCAACCATCTCCGTCATTTCTTTCTCCTCTTTGCACATCACCTTCGCGCACAGCCCCCACACAGGCAGACCAGACAGAGGCGGCATCTATGTCAGTGTGTTGGGCGGCGGGATAATGATAATGGCGTGTGGTGGCGTGGCGTGGTGTGGTTCGGTTTGCAGTGGGTAGAGAGGAGAGACTTGGTACCTTCGCGTCTGTCCGTGTGTGTGGATGGATGTGTGTGGTGGATGTGTGTGTGTGTATACTCGTGGTAAGATTTGACTGTATCTAACCACCGAGCGGACTGACGGACAGAGCATCGATTCGGTTAACGAGCGTGTGTATCTCCTACCCATGGTTTGGTTGCATTGCAACGAGGCAACACACACGTTGACCACACTCAGTTCACCAAGGTACATGACACACACATACACACACGCCACGCCACGCCACGCAAAAAGTGCACCGAGATATGTCCGTCCACACACATCACATTTGCGCACTTAGAAACGAACGAGCGATATATAGGACAACGGTCACCTCACACACACACACACACACACGCTCATCCACAACTAAGCAATTCGTTGCCTCTCGGCAACACGACACACCTCACCCCCCGCCCCGCCGACACCGCTCTCCTCGGGCTGTCCGTCTACCAATAGCTATCTATGCGTTGGGGTTGAACTCGAACGGCGCCATGAAGTGCTCGTAGGGCGCCCAGTGGATCTTGTCGGGGTTGACCGACAGGAACTCCTTCCCGCACTGCTTCAGCAAACCGTTCACGTAGTCCTCAGGGATGAAGAACACCATCTCACCCTGACGGACAGACACACACACACACGTGTGTGCAGCCATCTCTCCCCCTCTCCCCCTCTCCCTCTCTCTGTGCGCTGCGCACATACGTACGTCGTATTCCCTGAGGACGCCCAGGCGACAGAGGCAGTCGAATACGTCCTCCTGGCTGATGGACACGGCCTCCGACAAGGCCTTGATCGATATCGTGGGGACGTCGTCGCGCACACTCCCACCGCCCCCGGTGTGCTGCCGCTGCAGCTTGGCCTCACGCGCCTCGCGAGCCACACGGGCGAGCTTGACGCGCCGCTGCAGCTCCGTCAGCAGCCGGGGCGTCCACCACGCCATGTACGAGGCACGGCCGAGGTCCGAGAAGGGCCGCTCAGGGCCGCCTGCACTCACACACACACACACACAGAGAGAGAGAGATGTGGGTGTGTGAGAAGGGGAGTGGTGGGGAGGGTAGGGAGGGTAGGGTAGAGGTACCTACCGATGCTGCGTTTGAGTCCGTTTTCGGCGGTTTGGTCGGCGAGGAGCTTCTCCTTTTTGGAGAGCTCGTATGAGAACGAGATGAGGAACTTGCCGTAGCCCTTGCGCTGGTGCTGCAGTGCATCCATCCACACAAACACACACGCACAGAGAGAGAGATGATGCACCAGAGAGAGGGAGTGGGGCAGGGCTGTCATCTATCCGTCCATCCATCCATCCATGCCTCACGTCACGTCACGTCACCTGTGGCAGGGTGAGGATGCAGGATAGGTTGTTCTTGGAGTACTTCTCCTTGCTGAAGTAGCCCACGATGTGGTACCCCAGCTCGTCGTACTCGGTCAACACGTAAAAGATGAACAGACCCACCTGATGCCTACACAACCACACATCCATCCATCAATGTGTGTCGGCTGGGTGAGGGGCGGACTTGAGTGTCTTGTGGTCGAGGAAGAGCTTGGCGATGTAGCAGAGGTTCTCGCAGTAGATCCGCGAGTAGGTCCCGTCCACCTCAAACATCGAGATGTTGCCCTCCCTGAAGTGCACCACAAACGCACAAACGTGTGTCTCGCTGATGTGTGTACCTCCCTAACCCACCACCCCATTCACCCACCTGTATATCTCATCGCCCGGCGGGTGCCTCAGGCTGCACCCTTTGCCGTGCCGCAACAGCTCCTCTTTCTCCCTGTGTGTGTGTGAACACAACATCCGCGGCGAGTGTGGGAAGGTGTGATTGTGTGTGGTTGTGGTTGTGGTTGTGGTTGTATGAGAGAGAGGGGGAGGGCAAGGTGAGCTCACCCGAAGAAGGCCAGGCAGAACTCGCAGACGTAGAGGACCTCTTTGTTCTGGTACTCCTGCCAAAGCAACCAACACGCAGAGATCCATCCATCCATCCATCCATCCATCCATCGGCCAATCAGTGCATGTGTGATGATGGCCTGATGGCCTGGCCTCTACCACAAACACCTACTACGTACCACCGGAAACGGCGAGAAGTACCAGCAGTCCACCACGTGCCTCCCCATACACATCTTGTTGATCGTCTTGAGCTGCAGCCATTCCATCAGCACCATAGCACCATAGCATGCCCATGCCTGTCTGCTCACCCACACCACACCACACCTTCCCCACCTTGGTGTTTTCATTGTGTTCGGTGAGGTAGGCCTCGTCGAGCCCCTCGTGGTCCGAGTCGTGCTCTGCGGGCGGGACGCGCTCCACCATCTCGCCCGGCAGCATCTCGGGCTCGTGCTGACGGATGCTCTCCTCGCCAACCCAGCAGTCCAAACGCCTTGACACACACACACGCGCGCAGAGAGAGAGAGAAAGAGGTTGGTCGCTCAGTCGGTCGGTCGCTCAGCTACCTGTCCCTGCCGATCCAATGGATATAGTAGTCGTAGCCGTACTCAGTGGGCGAGGAGGAGTTGAGAATGCCCTTGGACTCGCTGCGGTTCCTGCAGGGTCAGTCGTGAACAGACACACAGGAAGGTCGTCATATACAGATATGTGTCTGTGTCTGTGTGTGTGTGCCTGGCAAAGATGATCTTTGCCCTCTTCCACAAGGGTCCGGGCTTCGCGTACACGTCCCTCGCCCACACCTGCATCCCCTCCGGAATCGCCTTCGGAAACTGGCACACACAATCAGACAGACAGACAGGCGTGAACAGACACCCGTCATGTCCATTGCATAGTCCCATTGCAGCACCTCCTCCGCCTCCCTGATGGCGTGTGGAGGGCCCCAGCTCACCCTCTCAGCCCAGCTGAAGTCCCGCGGCATCTGGAATAGGGGTGCCGAAGCGGCCGAGGCGCAGGAGCTCCCCCCGGCCGGCTGCGACGCCCTCTGGCCCTTGTTCATCTCCCTGACGACCTACTACCGTCCTCAGGTGCCTAGCTGGCCCATGGTGGCCGTCAACAGCCGCTGACGATCTTGGTGTTTGGATCTCGGCGGGTATGGGGTCTTTCCGAGCGCGGAAAAGTCGAGGTTGGTGTGCGTGGGTGTGACCTGGCTGTTTTGGTGGTTGTGGGGAGGAGGGGAGGTTGCGCAAAAAGGGCATGTGCAGGGTTAGGTTTGCGTAGTGTGTGGGGTTTGGGATGAGGCGAATCCCGGGGGACCGAACGAATGCCCGTGTGCCTGTGGATCGGATGGCGCGTGTCACGTGGGTCATCCATGCAGAGCTACGGCGAAACATGCAGAGTTCCACCTCTCAAGTAAGTCAGCCTGCCCCCCTCCCTCTCTGCTGCTGCTGCTGCTGCCACAGGACACCGCCGACAGCCCTTCTCCGCTCCCGCACGCCCCTCCCCTGCCCATGGCTGCTCTCATCTGGCCGTGGGACGGGCGTTGCCATCCCACCTGTACCTCCACGTCCCCCTCCACCGCCCATCGCTCCCATGGCCGCCAAAGGGGACGGTATGCCGCCATCAGGGCTCGGCAGAACAACATGTGAGGCCCTGAAGATAGATCACACAAAACGCCAGCCGATCCACACATATCCGCGTGATGTGATGCATGAATAGATGTACCCGTGCAGGTGGTGCTGCTGCTGGTGGTGCTGCATGAGCAGTGGGTGCGCCTCGACGGGTGGGGGGCGTGTGTGCTGCTGGTTGCTGGCGATGGCTGGCGTGTTGTTGCGCGAAGTCTCGTTGTCTCCTTCTGGGACCGGCGAGAGGTGGGAGAGGTCATACGGCGGGTGTGGGTGTGGGTGGTGGGTGATGGGGTAGGGGAAGTGGCCTGGCAGAAGGGGAATATGGACGGGGTGGGGCTGGTACGGCTGCATGACGTCAGCAGCAGCAGGAGGGGGATAAAAATGAGGAGGAGGGGGACCTGCGATAGAAACATGAGTCAACACAGAACGACACACAACTCACTCACTCCCTCTCTGGTTCGGCTCTCTCCTTCTCACCTCCTGGCACGCCATACAGGTGCATCGTCTGCAGCCCGCCGCCACCCCCCACCAGTGTAAAATCCTCACCCGACGGCGATGGCACCCTCTGCTGCTGCTGCTGCTGCTGCTGGTGTTTCTCTCGAGGTCCCCGCCGCACCCCCATGCCCCCCTCAATGCTCTCCTGACTAGAATCGCGGCGAAGGAAAGACGAGCCCGGCCCTCCCACTGGCTTGCGACGACCCGGTGCCTTGGCCGGCTGATGTTGGCCATGTTGGGCCATTCTGGCCTCCTCGTTGCCGCGGTTGTGCTCCACCAGCCGCATGATCGACCGGCGCATCTCCTTCTTGCTCGGGTGCATGTGGGAACGGGGAGCGGTGTGGGTGCTCGCCTTGGTGTGGGTGTGCTGGTGGGTGTGGTTGTGGGTGTGGTTGGCTTGCAGGAGCTTGGGAGGGGGGGCTGGGGGAGGCGGTGGGGGGCCTGGTCTGCGGGGCTTGGCGGGTGGGGCGTCGAGGGGCGATGAGTTGATGGTGCCAGTGGTGCTTGTGCCGGGGGGAGTGCGGCCAACCACTGAGAGGGAGACACAGAGACAGAGAAAAAGAGAGAGGGTGGGCGCGGCGTGTGCGGGCGTATCGTGGTCAATGCTCATGCACTAACGGTTCCATTCGTCGGAGACTTCGCTAATGCTACGCCGGTGTCCCTCCTCCACAACCACCAAATCTGAAACACACACACACACACATCACAATGCATTGTGTGTATGTTCTCCCTCTCCCTGTCTCATCGGCTTGCCTTTCGCCGAAGTGGCGGCCGTGATGAGGCGTGATCCTCTCCCTCCTGGCTGGGCCGCTTTGCCCTTTGGCGGAGCCATGGCCACCGCCAGACCGCTACCTCCACTGCCGCTGCCGCTGTCTGCCGGCGATGCAGACTCCCGCGCAGCCCTGCAAAGTGAGCAAATCAGGAGATGCCGAGATGGCCGTGTCTCATCTATCTCTTGTCGCCCGCCTTCTCAGAGAGCTTACAGGCCGTTGAGGGCGTGGACGTGCAGCGACGGGACTTTGAGAAGAATGTGGGGCGAGTCCCTGACAGACGAAGGAGAAGGAGAGGGGAGAGTGGCGGGCGGGCGTGTTGGCTGATTCTATCTTTTGTCCTTACGGGCTGAGCTCTCCCCGCTCGTCGCCTTCATCGCTGGATGATGTGTCGTCATAGTCATAGTCGTTGGACGCACCACTGCCGCCACCAGCAGCACCAGCACCAACCACAGCGCCATACACACGATGGTCGACTGAACCAATCCACACACACACACACGACACTAATTCACCCCTCCCTGTCTCTCTCTTTGCGCCAACTGACATCGTCTCTCGGCCTGCATAAAGGGGAAGTCCTGCAGCCGATCCGGGGATCTCCTGGGGAGCCTCTGCCCCGGGACTGCGGCCGCTAGAACATGCGGTGTCTCGCCGGCTGCCACTGCCACTGGTGCTGGTGCTGGTGTGTCGCGAGAGGCCACGAGTGGCCGCTGCAGCTGGGCTGAGAGACGCTCCAGCCGCTGATGCAGAGCCGAACGGCCGTCATCTACGCCACCGTTGCCACCGATCTCCTCCGCCTCTTCCTGCATTTGTGGAATACACCAGAGATGAATCCATGTGTGTATGTCTCGGTGTCTGTCTGTCTGTGAGTGGAGGTGGGAAAAAAATGTCTTACATCCTCTCTCTGTTCATCGACACGTTCTTCCTTCCGCTGCTGCTGCTGCTGCTGGTGCTGCTGCTGCCCCTCCTCTGTGACACTCGGCCGGGGTGGCGCCGGCGAGAGGGCCCCCGCCGCAGCACTCTCGCCCTCCCCGACCTCTGCCTGCGATGCCTCCTTCTTGGCCACTAATGCCGCAGCAGGTGGTGGCAGTGGTGGGCTGGGCTTGGTGGCGTCTTTGGGGCTGTTTGGTGATGTGTTGGGCGCGGAGGGCTCCTCCTTGACCGTCGCGATCGTCGGGGCTGCAACCACACACATATGGGG